AGATAAATCAGTTAGATAGTGGGCAAGAAATAGTAGCTACAGGGACATACCCACACGAACACCATCAGCTACATAGTGGTATCGATAGAAGAAGGAAAAGCTTACCTAATCCCAGCTCAGTCCAGTTAGGCAGTGCTGAAACTGGATTCTGAGTTAGCTGAAATCGAATTGGTCTGGATTTGGTCTGACTTAGCTGAATCCAGACCAATTCGATTTCAGCTAACTCAGAATCCAGTTTCAGCACTGCCTAACTGGACTGAGCTGGGATTAGGTAAGCTTTCCCCTCTTCGCCATTGACCATTGACCGCCCCTTGTATATGCTCGTCGATTCATCAAGTCAATGATACTCTCAGCAACAATGTTTGAAGACCGGCAAGTCTAGCAACTATCTGAGAGTTTTGTATGGCCTAGCATGGTGAGCTACCCATTTATTCTACTTTACTTTACGCTAACCTATGTTTTTTCCAGGGTATTTCTACATGTCTTTCCGGCCAAGCTCATGACTGAGATGTTGCGTGCCAACTGGAAAAACTCGATGGATAGTAGTGCTTCAGTAAGGTGGAATAGGCAAGGATTGATTGTGATAATCTGTTGGATGTACTGCTAAGGTGACCTTGTCAGTTGTTCGAGGCTTATTCATTTTCTTATCTTCTTTGTCTAGATTATCGACGGGGACGACGATGACGATGATGATGACGGATATTTCTGGCATAGAAATTCATGTACTTGAGGTAAGCATTCTGGTAATCATTTTGTGAATGATTCACTAAGTGATCTATGAGTAGGTGGGCACAACTCGCTGCTTGCATTCCGCAAAGCCAGGAAGGGGTAGCAATAATCAAGGTACGCTTACTACCTTTTCATTTTCTTTCTGAGTACCTTAACTACCCTGCAGTCGCTCCTTCACCGGCCATGGCAATGATGGATCCCCCTCTCTCGCCCATACTGCCAAACGCGCCGTTGAACATAATACGGATTTTACTTGGCATCAACCGGTAACACAAAAACAAGGTCCCAATGGTCAAGATGGCGGGCTGTCAGCACAAGATGGTGCTGGTCTCACTGATGGCCATCACCTTCCTTTGTGGATATTTTCATTGGTGTGTTTCTTCTGTCACGACAAAGATGGTGACGAGCTTGCTGCCTATGATGGTGAGGACTTGTGTTTCCTTTGATACTTTCATTCTTTTTGACCTTTCGCAGGCGTCCTCAAATTCGACATTGAAGCGGAGTCGGACTCGACGCTGGGCACAGCCAAGCGACGTCATTTAACACTCGATGAAGAGTTTTCCACTGGCAGACTACATAGGCCGGCAGTCCCAACCACCGTTCTTTATCCCTGAATTCTGCTTGGCTTCTTTACCTCCCATGGCATTGATCTGCATCAATATCGAGCTGTGTTATCTTGGCTGTAGCCCCTCACATACACTCTGGTTTCACTGAGTATATGGGACGATGCATCTATGGCAGGATCTACTGAACCCGACAATCAGCATGGTCTCGCCAATCCTAAAACAGGCTTCAGAAGCGACATTATGGACGTGTAACTCAAGTGAACTGGGAAGAGATGAAAGCACATTAACTGCACACGGGAAGGGGAGTGACCTATGCATTCCAGTGGGACATGCGTGAGTTTGAGGGAAGAGACGTCACAGGTGCGGGCTATCATTAGCCCATATGGAGTGACCAGAGGTTTTTGGTCAAGGGTTGACTGACACGCTGTGGAGGGAATTGATGGGTCCTGTGGCTGTGAGAAAGTCGAGCATCCAATTTTCTTCGGAATCCAGTTTCAGGCTCTGGCCAACTGGACTCGGTGAACTTTATGTAAGCTTCTCTTCTTTAACTGTGACCACCACCAAGATTAGTCAATACAACAATCCTTGGGAGTGGTTCGACAAGGAGTCGTTTTTTGCTATAGTTTCTTTACTATTTTATTCTCGCCATGATTATTAGTGTATGAATCTGAATGCGCCTCTTTTTTTGTGAAGATCTTGTATCTGACACCATATGCACTGGCGCCTAAGTTTCGTGGCATCAATGTCTACAGTAGGTCTCTTCTGCAAAACATGGATTGAACTCACACATTGAGGAACAGACCGAAAATTCTGTTGGAGTGCTGAAACCTGAAGTCAATCCCGAGTATTCCAGTCAGGAAGAGCGCGGTCAAGATTACAACGATGACTTAGGTACATTTTGTTGCATAAGCACATATAGTCATTCACATTAGTGTTCTCGTAGAGTTTCTGGACAATGAGTGCGATGACGATGACAACGTTATGCCCTGAGAATGGCATTTCAGCGAGGGAGAGCCAGTTCTGGTGCCCAACTCCACCATGGGTATTGTCACTTGTATGCAGTCCACGGCAGTGGAGATCAATACAGCAGATGGTCCTCTGTGGTATAGATGGTATGATATCATCAAATATTATCAGCTGGGTGATTATGTGGAGGTGGTCGGGGGAGAGATGCAAGGTCGACATGGCTTTGTCCAGGGTGTCGATGATGAGAACTTCATCAATATCATGGAAGGTCATTACAGTCAAGGAGTTAGGGTGCGTGGACTGTACAAGTATTGTTTTGTATGCTTACACTGTCTCAGGAAATGACAGTACATCGTAACTTATCAAGAATTATCTCTCCACCTACAAGATCTAGCAGTTTCGGCCTTTCTCCTGAAGAGATGGCCAAGCGAATGCACACTGGCAGAGTGCCATGGCAAGGTCTCTGTGTACTCGTACTTCCCTCCACTGGTCAATCAAAAAAACAATGTTTTGATCAGCTGGAGAAACTGTCTAGCCTCAGTCATGAGGCCGATGTACACAAAGGAAAAATCAGAACAGTGCTAGATGTTGGAATCAACCAGGTGATGGCTAGCGGGCTCAGGATATGTGTCCATCTGGAACAAAACTACAGTGCAGTGCACACTTATCGTGACATATGGGTAGATTACGACAAGGTTGTTGAGGAAACATATGTTCATAGTTTTTAATCACCATCAAGATAAAGTAACTAATACTGTCTACCACAGGACTGGACTGCCTTTACGATTCTATCAGCCACTGCACAAAACTCAGGAGGCTTTCTTACCATCATGGGAGTATCGCCATATGCGAATGGAGCAAGAGAATGTTATGCGCAGCCAGCTTTTAGCTTCCCAAGTCATGCTACAATTGTGACGAGCATCTCCCCCTCCCCCCCGCTTGACCACACCACCACATGAGAGTCCATCTGAGGACTGTGGTATGGGGAATGCCTGGGATGTGACCACACCGGACCCACTAGACCCAAGTGTAACCCATTGGAGCAGGCATCTGGTGCTAGCTGGGTGAGAGTTACGTGTCAACATTCTAGGCAAATCCCAACCCCAGAAAGTCAGACTGGAACTTTCAGAGACCAAGTGTATCATGAAAATCATGTTTCGAATGACTCTCATGGATATTGGCAGTCTAACAAGTGTAACCCCTCTTGAGCTGATGGTGCGAGACTTCCATTGATGGGTCGTCATCCATGGACCTCACATCGGCAAGTATGTTTGCGGTATCTGCTACATACAGGGTTCCAAACCAATTTTGTGGACAGTTCAGGAGATTACATTGGCAAAGCATGAACATGACTCCCTCGTAGGTGAGGCATTCAATGTTCATAATACGGATCTCTGTCAAGTGGCGGACAGCCAGGAAATGTTAGATATTAACAACCAGTGGGCACAAGATATTTGTGAGGCACCTACGAAGGTGAAGAAGGGAAAAAAATAATTTATTTTCCATGATATATGACATTCGTTTACTTCTTGAATTTTGTTGTACTATTTCTCTCAACTTTTAGATACCGTAATGTATAGGGACTGCAAATGCATCACGCTTAACACTTTGAACCGGTGAAATGGCATTCAAACGACAAACGAGGACAATAGGGTTATGAAATTTGCTCATTGTTGACTTTGCATTTGGTACGTTGCCATCCTACTGTTAACCACTTCCTTATGCTGAACTGTCACAACAGCCAGCTCTCTCATCGTGATCGCCATGCCCCAGGATTGTCAGTTATTTTGTAATGTCACTACTACAGATATGTTCTTTATTTACTCGAAATTTACAGCTACTGCTGATTTTCTGCCACTTGAGATTGTTCCGAACATAATACTTGAACAAAGGAGAAATGCAGCAGGTTCGACTGGACAAAACACCTGCAGAAACAATAATCATGCAAAGGCAGCTTATATCTTTTGTCTGTTGAAATAAATCTAACTTTCTATGCCACCTTCCCAGCTTTTCCTTTCTGTCCGACTGCCACAACAGCATTGACTCTTTTACCAACCACCACCACCATGACAGAGACGCTGCCAAACATGACCGATAGAAATGCACAACCTCCCGCACCTCCTGCTACTCCCACTGCTTGCCCTGATTGCCCTACTCTCATGAAAGAGCACATAACTTGGCTCAACAAGAATGCTATGTTGGGCTATGCCCAAGCCATTGCAGTAGCACAGGCTCAGTCATCTGGCAATAAGAGAATATGAGGATCAGGGATTGAATACATCAAGAATCATGTACTCAGTGACTTCCTTGAGGAGTTTTGGTCTCCAGCTGACGAACCAAAAACCGCTTCTGTTCTCTTGGTAAGCTTGCTGGTCACTGTTTCCAACTGGGTTGCTCATAATTTGTACAGAAAGTCCAAAAGTATCTGGCCAATCATCACAAGGCTTATACTGAGAAGACTTGCTTTGACCCACGTACTCAGGCACATCCAAGCCATCAGACAAATGCCAAGGAACAGTTCCAAAAAGCAAAGGCCAATGAGATAAAAGCTGAGATGGCTGGACGATGCACCAATGGCAAGGTTCCAGATGCATCTATGACTGCTACTTTTAAGACATCAAATAGTGTCAGTTGACACATAGTGAAAACACAATATAAGTGTCAGTTGAAAATATTCAATTTCCCAGGATTATATGGTATATTAGTCAGCAGTCCAAATCATGACATCATCAGAAAATCCGGCTGACCCGGGAATTGAACCCAAGATCTTAAAAAGATTTTCATCAATATCACATAACTTTTCCAAGCAGACATGCTAACCACTATACCATACAAGCATCATATGTTTATATATTCATGTCTCCATATGACCTTCCTCCCTTATATTTATAATATCCCAATTGGGCCCTCCCTTTGGTGCGCTTTGGTGCGCCTTTTTTTTCCTTATTGGGCTGCTCAAATCAGCCCATCAAATGCGCTCAAAAGCGGCTGTGCCCTGCCATTGATGGCATCAATATCAGGCCATTTTCGGTCAAAATAGGCATTCAGGCTCATTTGGGGCCACCTACTCGTCCCACCTACAGGGTTATATAAGATGTGGTGACATGTCGTGTCACCACATATAATATAACCTTAAGAGAGCGAAAACACGGTACTCCGATAATACTTCAATAATTCCAAGTTTTGACGTCATATGTGTCATCAGGGCACTACTATAAATGGATGAGGATAGAGTGAGAGCATGAGTTCGTCATCCCACCTTGCCGACATCAAGCCGGTGCCTGCTGCTGATCAGATCATTATGATCCCGCTGGCCCGCTCACTGTGTCGGGTGCTGAGCAGCCTAACTCGTCAATATAAATTCCAAAAAATATGGAAAAAAAGAGGGAAAAATATTAGAGCACTATCGGAGTACATCCCGCTGTGTCCAGAACATTGTATATCAAATATAGACCACGCATGATAAGTACATCTAGATTCAGGCACACAAAGACCAAAAAAGTGAATCAGGGACTTGTGACAACATCATACTGCTTATGTAAGATGACATCAATGCCTTGTATGGCATGACTCCCTCGGATCAATTACAACTTGTCAGGGCCTACAATGACATCACAAGCCTCGCCCCGGTTATCACCGCATCCCTCAATTGCCTGACTGTTTTATAACATAGTGAAGCGTGTAAGATAGGGTGAGTGGGGTTTTTAAATTCAAGTCAAGATAATTATGCCTATTTCTTGTTTATATAGGTGTGACGGGATGAAGAGGCCTGAGACAAAGATACTTTGCGGCACTTACGATGCGAAGCATCTCCCTCCTGATGATGTCACCTTTCGGACCCTTTTCTTGCCCTTATCGGAGCGTTCCTTCCGCTTAGAACTCGGCTCCTCCCCCAGCATTAGCCGCTGTCTGTTGTGCATTCTCTCGTCTCTGTATCTCCCCCGCGGTGAGCTCATGCCAATAACATTTACCGCTATCCAAAGCATCACGAAGTGCGCGCAGCTGAGCAATGCCTTTGATATTAGATGGGGTCACGAAAGGAATCCCCTCAGGCCAACCACGGAGCTCGACACCATATGCTTGAACGATGTGGGTTTTGTACTTTTCATAATGCATTGTTGCGGTCTTGACACGACTTACAGACCCTACTATTGTGTCAGTAATTTGTCATTGTCTGAAATTATGTACTTACGGAGCTTTGTTTGGATCTTGGCAGTGATATCACATCGAATGGCCGCACCCGTCTCTCGCTCGCTGTGATCTGAAAAGGAAATTAGTCGATGAATATTACTTGTAATAAAGCATACTTGTTGCTTTTGAGCATGCCCACAGCTCAAAATGCCGCGCCATATCAACAAGTTCTATTTTGAAGGTGTCCCAAATGAACTCCTCTGCCCCCAAGCTAGCATGAACCTGGGTTTGAAAGGCGTCATCCAAATGAGAGCAGTGACATGATTGCAAATGACATTGCCCCTGTTCGTATGCCTAGATTTCGCAGCTAGTCAAAAAACTTAGTAAGCAACAAGTCCTACCGCGAGACGGAAGCTTACACACCTCTTTTCCGACATGGTCAGATGTTGCTCTGAAGTCATGACCAGCAGATATGTTTGTGCTCCGTACTGATTTACTTTTCTCAGCCCGCTCCACCTCAAGTGCC